AATACAAAAATGTCCCCAGGCTATTTTGTGATTATATTTGAATAAGTATTCCCCCTGTACGGGGACAGGCCCGATTTAACACTTGCAGCGTCGCCCAAAGTACGGCGGATCCTGGGTGAAAGGATCCCTCTCCCGAAGGGTGCGGCCTGGCCCGTGGCGTCCGGCCTCGTGACAGAAGAGCACGACCCCGTGAGAATGGCACGGCTGGAGCCCGCGCTCCCCTCTTGCACGTGGCCATTCTCGGACCAGATCGATAACACTTTCGCCTGCCCAGGCATCTCGCGGTGGGGACGCCCGCCAGAGTGAAACACACGGTTGAGGCGCCGGTGACTACCGCCGACACCCTGTTGACAAATGGACGCAAGCGGCGCCGATTCAGCGGATGGGGGACAACAGCGCCTCCGCTATAGCGGGGCGATTAGGCCAAACATGGTTATGACAGACAGGGGAGCAAGTGGAAGCGGGGGGGAGAGGCGCCGCAGCTGGCGGGCGGTGCTGGCATGGCTTCGAACAGGGAAAGGAAGAGGGAGTGCGAAGCGACAAAGGCACGCGGAAAGGGCTCCTCGTTTTCCTTCTCCACTACAATATGTCCTACGAAGACGACGACGATGACGACGACGACGACGACGACGGCGGCGGCGGCGGCGGCGGTGGACGGACGACGACGACGCACTGCACGACGACGACGTACTGCGGATGCCCCGTGGGGGGGGTACTGCGTAGGCCCGCTGTTGTCGACAACGACGACGACGACGACGACGAGGAGGAGGAGCCGCCGCCGCCGCCGACGCCGACGCCAACGCCGACGCCAACGCCGACGCCGACGCCGACGTCGACGCCGACGCGACGACGACGCAGACGCCGACGACGACGACGACGACGACGACGACCACGACGACGACGGCGACGACGGCGATGACGACGACGACGACGACGGCAACGACGACTGTGGTACGTCAACAATCAGCCTGGAAGGGGGAGAGACGTCGCCCCGGATGTATACGATTGCAAAAACAATTTGTATACGAAAAGCAACCATTTTGAGGCTGCCGCGCAGGGGTGCGCAATCCCCCTGGCGGCGCCCGCGGCGACACCCTGGCGGGCGTGATCAAAAAATGTTTCGCGCCCCGCGGGGTCTTTTCATCAGCCACGGAAGGGGCTGGGGGGATCATTCTTTGACCACAAGCTGACATTACAATCAGGAATCCCACCAACCCTCTGGGCGTAGGTGGTCTAGAGCGTTTCCTCTTCCACCTCCCTTCTTTCCATTTGGGGAAGGGTTTATCACTGTTCCCTACTAATATACACCCCTGCCCCAGGCGACTTGGAGCCAACCCGAGTCCATGAGGGCACCCCCCCACCATCCCTTTCAAAAACAATACAAAACACATTCTGCCCCCACCATCCCTTGTACAAAAAAATACAAGACCCACTCTGCCTCCAAATTCGGAACATGCGCAGCGAACCCGATGCGGCCTCCCCCCACCATCCCTGTCAAAAAACCATACAGAGTACACTTGGCAGCGGCGGTTGCGGCTGCTGCGGCGGGGGCAGCGGCTGCGGCGGTTGCGGCGGTGGCGGTGGCGGGGGCGGCGGCGGCGGCGGCGGCGGGGGCGGCGGCGGCGGCGGCAGTGGCGGCGGCGGCGGCAGCGGCGGTTGCGGCGGCTGCGGCGGGGGCAGCGGCTGCGGCGGTTGCGGCGGTGGCGGTGGCGGGGGCGGCGGCGGCGGCGGCGGGGGCGGCGGCGGCGGCGGCAGTGGCGGCGGCGGCGGCAGCGGTGGCGGCAGCGACTGCGGCGGCTGCGACGGCGGCGATTTGGCAGCGGGGGCGGCGGCGGCGGCGGCGGCGGCGGCGGAGGCGGATTCGCACCCAGTAGCTGCCCATCCAAAGACGACTGCTGCATATGCTGCGGCTCGGGTCAGGCTCGGGTTCTACGTATGTGTTAGGAGGGCGGGTGAGAGTGAGCGAGACGGCTTGCGGGCGGGGAGGGCGTCTTGATCCCTCCGCCTACCCCCCCCCCTGGACTTGGATGCGGGGGCCGCGAGATGTCAGGTGGTACATATCGTTTCGCTCCAAGACGGCTCCAAGAGGGCCTCAGGGAGCCCACGATGGCGTCCAAGATGGCTCAAGATAGCGCAGGATGCCTCAAGATGGCTTTCAAGATGCTCCAAGAGGCCCAAAGACCTCCCCAAGACGGCGCCAAGTGACCAAAAACAGCTCCCCAATGATGCAACCGAGAAACCAAAAAATCAATTAAAAAAACATGTGACAATCAGCTTGTTTGGATTTCTCGCCGTTTCGCTTCCGATTGCCATTCGAGGCCTCCAGATGGCTACAATATGGCCCAAAAGAGCCCCAAGATGGGGCCCAAGAGAGCCCCACGACGGCCCCAAGAGCGCCCCAATAGCGCTACAAAAGCGCCCCAAAACGTCCAAGAAGCGACTTTGGGGGGCTCCCGTGGGGGGGGCGCTAATTAAGGACCCCCCCCTTCTTTGATGGATGTTCTCCAAGATAGCCCTCAGAGGCGCCCAGGAGGCCCCAAGAGGCCCCAAGATGGCCCCAAGATGGCCCCAAGAGGCCCCCAATAGGCCCCCAAGAGGCCCCTAAAAGGCCCCCAAGAGGCCCCCAAGAGGACCCCAAGCGGCCCCAAGAGGCCCCCCCCCCCATGCACCCAAGACTCCGAAGAGCCCCCCAAGACCGCCAAGATACTCTCAAGACGCCCCAAGAGGCCACCAAGAAACGCCCAAGAGATATCACAAGAGGCTCCCAGTGCCATCCAAGAGACCTCTGGCCCTTTTGCTTGCCCTCCTCCTCCTGCTCCTCCTTCCTCCTCCTACTCCTTCTCGTTATCCCCCTCCTTCTCCCCCTTTTTCTCCTCCTCCTCCTCCTTCTCCTACTCGTCCTATTCATCCTCCTTCTCCCCACTCCTTTATCCATCCATCCAGCCTCGTCCTTCTCCTCACCCCTTCCTCGCACAGTTCGGCAGTCCCCATCTGTGCTTCCGCACTTCCCTGATTACCTCAACTCGTCTGGACATCGTGTATGGATGGGCTGGTGCGGATACGCGATACATCTAGATGTTGTGCTTAGCGTGTCGCGACGGCGGCCCAGGCGACACGCTGTGCCTTACGACGGGACACCGTGTCGCTCCGCTCCACGGGGCGGGATGCTGACGCTTGGGAATGGGGACGTGAATAGCGTGTCGCGCCGAAGCGTGGTGGGCCAGAACACGCGGGGCGACAAGCGGATAGGACCACCCTACGGGTGATACGGGGAAGGGGGAGGCAGTCGATTTGCGATGGCGCGTGTGTGTTTTTGTTTCTGTGGTTTCTTAAACGCTTTATTGTCGCGCATATGTAACCATCGATCGGTCGACCTATCTACAGTGTTCCTAGTTTGAGGCAGCCACATCTATATATACATATGCATCAATCAATCGATCAGTCTACCAAGTAACCAACCAACCACTCAAGACATACACATACATTTATATATACACATATATATGTATACATATATCATAATATACACACATACCGTTATCTGTATGTATGTATGTCTACCCATATATACACACGTGTATCTCTCATTCTGTATGTCAATCACTTTACTATATATACATATGATTGTGTACCCTTCTTATATATTTCTATATCTAGCTCTTTATCAATCGATCAACAATCGGGACAACCATCGGGACAACCATCGGACACACATCGGGATACCCCTCGGGACAACCATCGGGATACCCCTCGGGACAACCATCGGGACAACCGTCGGGACAATTATTGGGGCACCGTCGAAACAACTTTCGGGGCAACCATCGGGACAACCATCGGGCACACCATCGGGACAACCATCGGGACAACTATCGGGACAAGCATCGGGACAACCGTCGGGACAACCATCGGGACAACCGTCGGGACAACCACCATCGAGCACACCGTCGGGTCAACCATCGGGACAACCATCGGGACAACCATCGGGACAACAATCGAGACAACCGTCGGGACAACCGTCGGGACAACCATCGGGACAACCATCGAGACAACCATCAAAACAACCCTCGGGGCAACTATCGGGGGCCGCGCCTGGCCGGGGGTCAGGGCGGGGGGGCGGGCGACCTCTGGGGATTTATGTGGCCTCTACAGTTGCAGGATCTTGCGCAGCTTCGCAACGCCCGCACGCACGACACGAACCGAAACCGAAACCGATCTCCCTGTTGGGGCCATTTCCGTTCACACACCCCAACCTCCGATCCCTCATCCCTCATCGGGCAACTCGCCTGGTGACTGTTTCTGGGAGTGGGCTGATGGGGACTTTCGTTCGCGAGCGAAAACGGAAGTGCCGCGCGCCGTCCAAAGCTACAGCTGTCCAGCAGCAGCCTACATTGCACACGAGAGAGAGAGGAGAAGAGGGACAACAAGAGAAGACAACAATATAATAACAAGAGAACAGCGGGAGGTGCGACAAGCCGGGGCGGGCCGCGCGGCGCCCACGGAAGGGGTGCCATCGGCAGCTGGTAACCGCCGGAGGCGCACGCCAGAAAGGCTGATGAGGACAATTTTTTGATCGCAACGGCAAGCGGACAGCCGCGCGGCGTCGTGAAGTCGTGCGAAGGGCGTTAGCCGGTGCAAGAGCACAGCGCAACAGTCGCCGGCGAAAGGCGGAAAAGGGACGGGGCCACTAAGCAGACGCACCGCTTGGGTGGCGGCTGGGTTATCCGGGGTAAGTCGGGTCCGGGGTAACGCGGGTTTGAATTCCCGAAAAACGAACCCGAGTTAGCCCTGACCCGAGTTACCCCTGATGATTTGGGGCTCTGGGCGCCCGAGTTATCCGGGGTAACTCGGGCCCGGGGTAACTCGGGTTCGGAATCCCGAAAAGCGAACCCGAGTTAGCCCTGACCCGAGTTACCCCTGATGATTCGGGGCTCTGAGCTTGGGTGGCGGCTGGCCAGGGCACGCGAAGCGTCAAGAACTCGCTTTCCCATCCCAGCGCGCGCCGTTGCTGCCGTTCTGCGGCGGCGGGGCCTGCTGCTGCTGCGCGGCCTGGGCGCCGCGCGGCCCCGCATGCCCCCGTGCTGCCCTCGATCCTCGACGCGCACAGGCCCGCAGGCCGTAGCTAACAGTCGGTCTGGCACGACGTCGGCTTGACGGCGTCGTTGACGACGCCGGCCAGACCGAATCTGCAAGGATCAGCCACGAATCGGACTGACGAGCCCCGGCGGCGAAACGAGACTCAGCGCAAAACTCTCCCGTGCTTTTCCCGATTGCCACGTCGAAGCACAAGGGTCCGTGGTCGCTTTGGCTCGAGCCCGTCTTGCCATCACGCGCGAGACCGCCCGTGACCGGTCCCGCCCCGCCCCCAACCCCCACCCCTGCATCCCTGAGCGAAACTTGACGCAAGTGCTGCCCACGCCGCGTCGGCACCCCCGGACCCCCGAACTTCGGTGTTGATGCCGAGACGCGCGGCTCGATTTTTTCCGCCGGCGTCCGCGGACCGCGCCGCGCCGCAACTGAGCATTGAAACCCAGGGTGCGAGGGGGGGAGGAAACTTGCGTTAAGTTTGGAGGCCTGGAAATTAGCACCAACACCAAGACAGGGGGCTGCCTCCACAGAAAAAAGATGATCCCAGATTTCGGTGTTGGTGGCAATATCTATTTCGGCCACCTTGGAAGCCAGAATATTACCACCATCACCGAGATCGGGATCGTCTTCCCTCGGTGGAGGCACACCGCCGATCTTGGTGTTGGTGTCAACCTCTGGGCCTGCGTTAAGTTTCTCGGAGGGCTGTGGTCACGTCACGACTCGCCCCGGCGCCGTCTGGGAACGAGCCCGCCTCAGGACTTCCCAGGCGGCGGCAGCGCAGGCGCAATCGTGACGTGGCCGCCTCCTCTCCCCTTTCCCCCCCCCCCGGCAGGCCTGTCTGAAGGGGCCCTGGGACACACAAACAAATCCGCCGATCCGGCGTGTGAGTTTCTGAGAGCGTGGACTTGAGCTCGCTCAAGCTTCGCTCTGCAGGGGGGCAGGGGGGGGGGGGCGTACGTTATTTCCGACTTCATTTCCGACGTTTTTCGGTACCCGGGGACAGGGGGGCCTAGAAAACTCCAATTTCGGAGCCCAGACCGACCCCCCCCAGATCGGCGGCACTGGCTGGAGGCCAGCCCAATAGACACATATAACAGGATTCCCCGTATTTTCTCATATCTTCTGAGTTTTTGTCTTCCCCCCCACTTCCCATATTTTCACATATTTTCTGGGGAATCGACGGTTAATTGTGTCTGTGTGTCTTTTCCCTCCTGACTGTTGTCGTGAGAAGGCGGTCTGGCTCGGGAACTCCTCAGAAGGCGCGAAAGGCTCGGGGACTCCTCAGAAGATTCCTCAAAAGGCAGAAGTCAGGCCTAATGAGAACGTGTTCCTGCTCTCCTCCCCGCCGCCAGTCGCGCCCGTTACTGTGAAGAGACGATTCTGGCTCGGGGGAAGGAGGAGCAGGAGGGGGAGGAGAAGGAGGAGAAGGAGGAGGAGGAAGGGGAGGAGGAGGAGGAGGAGGAGGAGGAGGGAGGAGGGGGAGGAGAGGAGGAGGAGGAGGAGGAGGAGGAGGAGGAGGAGGAGGAGGAGGAGGAGGAGGAGGAGAGGAGGAGGAGGAGGAGGAGGAGGAGGAGAGGAGGAGGAGAGAGGGGGAGGGGAGGAGCAGCAGCAGGAGGAGGAGGAGGAGGAGGAGGGAGGAGGAGGAGGAGGAGGAGGAGGAGGAGGAGGAGGAGGAGGAGGAGAAGGAGAGGAGGAGGAGGAGGAGGAGGAGGAGGAGGAGGAGGAGGAGAAGGACGAGGAGGAGGAGGAGGAGGAGGAGGAAAGGAGGAGGAGGAGGAGGAGGAGGAGGAGGAGGAGAGGGAGGAGGAGGAGGATGGAGGAGGAAGGAGGTGGAGAGGAGGAGGAGGAGGAGGAGGAGGACGAGGAGGAGGAGGAGGAGGAGGAGGAGGAGGAGGAGGAGAGGAGGAGGAGGAGAAGGTGGAGGAGGTGGAGGAGGAGGAGGAGGAGGAGGAGGAGGAGGAGGAGGGGAGGAGGAGGAGGGGGAGGAGGGGGAGGAGAAGGCGGGGCCCCGAGAGGAGCGCACGGTCTGGGCCGACTGCGGAGGGCGCCGAGCTCCTCCGAGGGCGCGAGGAGGGCGCGAAGGCGCGACAGACAGGAAACCCGGGTGTCCTGCACGTTGCAGGTTCGACAGCTCTCCACATGCGGCCGAAACGGTACAGTCGGGGCGTTGACCTAAGGAACCCTAAATAAGGAACGAGGCCCCTATTTTCCATACGTTGAACTTCGATTTCACATCGAAAGCCTAAGGAAAACCTAAGGCAAGCTGCGAAACAATTAAGGAACACGGAGCCCCTCCCCAATGAAAAGGGTTCCTTCTTCAGCGCCCCGACTGTATCCCTACACGTCGTTCATTCCTAATCGTGCTCGCTTCTAGTTGTGCTCGTTTCTAGCTGTTCCTGGCCCCCGAGTGGCCAGGAAGAGGCCCAGGATAGAAGAATTAGAAATGAAAGGGTCTTGGCCCCCAAAGAAAATCAAGGAATTTTCGAAGAACTAAAAATGAACAATGTGTATCCCTACCCTTGCCCACGCCGGAACTGTGCGAGGGCGGCAGAGTGGGCGCATGGATCGGAATCGGGCCCTCTGGAGGCCAAGCCTCTGTCCACGCCCTGCATCCTTCCCCCAGCGGCCAGAGCCGGCGGGCAGCAGCAGGGGTATGGATTGAGCGTCGAGCGGCCAGCTCTTCCTCCCATCCCACGAAAGCCCCAGGATGCCTCCAGGATGCCTCCAAGGATGCCTCCAGGATGCTGGGAAAGGCTCGGGATGGGACGCTGGGGGGCTGGGAAGTGGATAGCGTAGCGCACCGAAGCGCGGTGGGCCAGAACTGGTGGAACGACACGCTGAGATAAACTTCCTGACCGTACTACGGTGAGGGCATTGGATAAGGAACCCTTGGATACGGAACCCAGGGTCTGAAAGCCCGTTAAAAAACGGTTGAGGCTTGGCCATGGATCCCCCGCCGCCCTCATCTGAGAAGGAATCCTCCAGATTCTGAAGCCTCCTGGACGCATTCCTTAACGAACGCCCCCACCGTAATCAAATCCGACCGTAATTCCATCCCGACACTGACAAAAACTGCATCGACATGTTTTTGTCGTCCGGTTTCGCTCTCTTCACTCGGTCGGAAATCGAGGAGGGACTACCTTGGGAGTTTGAAGCAAACTTTTACATGTCTCGGGCCTCCTGAAGCCTCACATGTTTTTGTCGTCCGGTTTCGCTCTCTTCACTCGGTCGGAAATCGAGGAGGGACTACCTTGGGAGTTTGAAGCAAACTTTTACATGTCTCGGGCCTCCTGAAGCCTCAGGGGGCATACAGAGGTCAGGATGCCTGGCTGCCCCGAACCGCACCACTCAATTCCCCCCCCTCCTCCTCCTCCTCCTCCTCCCCCTGCTCCTTTTTTTTGTTCCTCCTCCTCCTCCACCTCCTCCTCCTCCTCCTTCCCGTCCTCTCCTCCTCCTCCTCCTCCTTCTCCTCCTCCTCCTTCTCTTCCTCCTCCTCCTCCTCCTCCCCCTTGTCCTCCTCCTCCTCCCCCTTGTCCTCCTCCTCCTCCTCCTTCTCCCCCTCCTCCTCCCCCACCCCCTCTCCCCCTCCTCCTCCCCCTCCCCCTTCTCTGGTCCTCCTCTCCTCCTCTTCCTCCTCCTCCCTGCCTCCTCCTCCTTCCCCTTTCCCCCACCTCCTCCTCCTCCTCCCTCACTCCTTCCTCCTCCTCCTCCTCCTCCTCCTCCTCCTCCTCCTCCTGAGTTCCCCCTTCCCCTCCTCCCTCCCCTCCGCTCTCCTCCTCCTCCTCCTCCCCTCCTCCTCCCCCCTCCTCTCCTCCCCCTCCTCCTCCTCCTCCTCCTCCTTCCTCCTCCTCCTCCCCTCCTCCTCTCCTCCTCCGCCCCCTCCCTCCTCTCTCTCCTCCTCCTCCTCTCCTCCTCTCCTCCTCCTCCCTCCTCCTCCTCCTCACTCTCCTCCTCCTCCGTCCTGCCTCCTCCTCCTCCTCCTCTCCTCTCTCTCTCCTCTCTCTCTCTCCTCGCTATCCTCGTCCTCCTTCCTCCTCCTCGCTCCTCCTCCTCCTCCTCCTCCTCCTCCTCCTGTCTCCTCCCGTTATTATTCGCTTATCCTCCTCCTCACCTCCCTCCTCCTCCTCCTCCTCCTCCTCCTCCTCCTCCTCCTTTCAGCCTTTCAGCCTTTGTGCCAACAGATCCCACGGCGTGAGACCAGCAGCCGAAGGGGGGGGGTGTGGGTGTGAGGTCGGAGCAACCCACATCATCGCTTGATGGGGATGCTGCGACCAAAGAAACGTCTGGTGCTGGGGTCGATACCTCTCTTGAGGAGGTCCAGGGAGGTCACCGCACACCTGTTCTCGGGGTGCCCCAAACAGGGTTCCCCAAGCCCAATAGTCTTGGTCCTCCCAAATCGCCCGCACCAGACACACCAGTATATTCGAGAGCCTGCATATTTTTTCAATCCCACCCCAGAGCGTGTGGCTGGAATGGGTTTGTCTGACAATACGAGGCAAGCCCGTACACGGGCTAAGGGCCAGGGCCGTATAAGACCGCTCCCGAGAGAAACAAATTCGGCACGAAAAACCTTTCCCACAGTGCCTGACCACATGACCATTGGGGTCAGGCACAATGAGAATGTCAGAGGGTTTGCTACGGCCCTTGACTTTGACTAATTCAACCTCCTTCATGCCACTACGAGAGAGGTGGCCCAGCACATGACCAGTGTACAACGCAAGAGAACGGAGCCGCTCGGCCTGCTTCTCCTCCTGCAGCTGGAGGAAAGCACTGTGGGGCACATTGGAAGCGGCCTGGCGGGCGAGGAAGTCGCAGGCCTGGTTCCCGTGCCAGGCCCACGCAGGACAGCCGAGGGCGGTCGCCCTTCGCCAAGACTTGTGCGCAGGGACCTTGAACAAGGCCGTCTGGCCTTCCCCGCGGTCACGCACTCTAGCCAGAACTTCCTCCCAGTACTCACCGAA